AGAGAGAGAGAGAGAGAGAGAGAGAGAGAGAGAGAGAGAGAGAGAGAGAGAGAGAGAGATGGCAAAGAAGTTCGTATAGGCAAAGGTTCTGATTGGGAATTAAGATGGAGCCCGATAGGCGGAGGCTCGGGGAAAATTAAGCTTTGATTGGATGAGTTGAAAAGGAGGAATGTAAGAGCAAAGAGGAATGTATGTAAGAGCGTAGAGAAAGGAGGAAGTAAGGTCGCCAAGGAATGGCAAGGATTGGGAGAAAGGAGGCTATAAGGTTGACCTAGGAATGGACTGGTGAGGGCCGATTGAGAGAAAGGGGGTAATGAGGTTAAGCAACGAGTTGTGAGGGATTGAGGAAGGAACAAGGTCGATGAGGAGCCCATTCCAGGGAGAAAGGCTTCGTTTGAGATTGGGGGTAATGCAGAAAGAGGTGGAAAAGTTTGGAACACGACAGCAAGGATATTATGATGCAGATGAAAGAATAGGAGGCAAGGAAGATGGAAGTGCCAGCAAGGACGAAAAAGGAAAGGAGAGCTAGCTCTCGAGGCTCCCGGGAGTGTGAATGAAGATAGAAGAAGCGTTGAACCTGTGAGGTAGACCGGAAGAAAGTGACAATGTTGCAGAAGGAAGTGAGATGGTGGAATCGAACTTGGGTGAAGCTTCCATTGTAAGGGAAGTGACCATGGATGCATCGGCAGCGCCGAATCCGCCGATGGCCAACAAGCTGGACATGAGGGAGTCAAGCCTACAAAGGCTGGAGGGTGATGTTGATCAGTTAGGAAAAGAACTGGTTAATGTGCGGGTCGAGATGACGAGAAAAGATGAGGATATACGGAAGTTGATTGACGTTGTAAAGCACTTAGCGCAGGTCGCAGGGAAGCTGCGGCAATCGGAGGCAGACCGCCTGAAGCAGGAAGGCCTTTTGGCAAACTTAGGGGATGAGTTGGAGACCCTGGAGGCGAAGGCGCTGAAGGCTGAAGAGAAGATGCTTGCGCGGAAATGGAAATTCAAGGCTCTATCCTGGGCAATGGAAGAGTTGAAGGAGGAATCAGTAGCCATGAAAGAGGAGGTTGGGAAGCTGAGAGAGGAGGCTGAGAGAGCCGCCCTGGAGGGAATGTTGAAGGATAAGCAAATTGAAACAATGCAACAGAGGATGGATAGATTGGAGCTGGCCTTGCAACGTGCCACAAGGGGCAAATACGAAGCAGAAAAGGAGTGCAAAACACTCAGAAAGGTTGTTCTTGAAGTCGAGAGGATAAGGGGCGATCTGGGGGCAGCATGGCAACATGGGGAGATCCTCGTCTGCCACATCAACAAGCTGACGGCATCTGCGAAGTTGAAAACCACAGAGCTGGACAGCGTCAAGCAGAAGCTCAAGGATACACAAGACATGGCTCAGCTGATGGCAGAAGAGGTTGAGGAAAAGGGAATAAGGGTTCTGAAGCTTGAAGAGGATGTCAAGGTGCACACTGAAAGAGGGAAAATGATGGCGCAGTTGCTGGATAGGCTTGCGGGTTTCTGTGACGAGGTTCACAAACAGCTCAGGGGAGACAGGAGGGAAAGGGGAGGGAGCATTGGAAGTGGAGGAAGTGCAGTTGCAGGAGAGACTGAGACAAGTCCTTTGGAAAGCCCATTGTGGGCTTCAATCAGGAGCAACGGCAAACTGCATGCGGGAGAGCTGCGAGCAGTGGACGTGGAGAAGGTGGAAACAACGTTGAAGCAGAGAGCGGATCTATTGCAAGAAGTCATCTTAGAGAAAAACGCAGCTATAAAGAGGCTGGAGACAGAACTCAACGAGGCCAAGGGTCGGCACCAGTGTTCACAAGAGGAGCTGCAACAACTTAAGGCGAGGATTGGTATCTTGGGGGAGGTTTTAGAACAGCAAGAGCAGCAGAGGGAAGAGTTGACTGTTGAGTGTGAAAGACTGAAGGATGGAGTCAGGTGCATGGCACGGGAACTCGGCGAAGCCAAGGAGGAAAGAGAACTCCTGCGGAGTCAGGTGTCAGATCTGGAGCTTAAGCTTCAGAGAGTGGGCACTGAAGAAGGGGAGCTTAGCAGAGGGATGGAGGAAAAACTCGAAGAAAGCGGGAAGCAGCCCGAGAGCGCCGTGACCACTGACACTGCAGAAGGTGGTGGGTCAGTGTCGACAGAGGGAACTCATGCTCAGGCACAGGAGCAGGTGGAGAGACTTTTGGAGGTAAGTGCGGCATTGACGAAGGATCTGGCAGCGTCACAAGCAGTCGTCGAGTCCCAGGCAGCAGTCATCACAAAATTAGAGGATGAACTCCAGAAGAAAACCCACAATATGCGCATAATGGACGCAGCTATGAAAGAGGAGAGGAAGCGAAGGGACATCGTTGCAACGAAGATGATGGATCGAAGAGCAATGTCCATGGACATGACACATTCTCCTGATGACATAAGAGAGGCAGGAGACGACGCCGACACAATGTCGACGATACCAGACTTTAGATATGGAATGAGAGCGGCTTCTATCTGCAGGAGGCGAGAAACGGAAAGAAAGATTAAGCAGTTGGAATTACAACTGAAAGATGAGAGGGAAGCACAGAAACGTCAGGTTTTGTCTCTCACCGATGAACTTGGGCGGACAAAGGCAGAGCTTGCAGCCTCGCAAAGGCAGGTTGAGATTCTGTTGGCGAAGTGTGAGCAAACCGGTGTGCCTTTGACGGTTGACCCTGGAGACTGCCATGGTGCCCTCGTGTGGGATGATGCAAACCACCAAAGGAGCGAAGGAAATAATACAGTGTTCACCGAGGTTATCGTGGAGCCAAGCGCCCATAATGCTACCGGAAAGGAGCTGGCAGAGGAAGAAAAGCTGTTCTTGGCGCAGCTGAAGAACTTGAAGGAGTTGCAAGAGCACTATAATGGATTGATTTCACGAGCACAAGGCGGAAAAGGGGATGATCAGGCAGTTGTGAATGGTGATTATGTCACACATGCATTTGGCACAGACGTGACCGCTCTCAGAGCTCAAATCGCAGAGCTCGAGACGAAGCTGGACAAGGAAGGTGGCATGCTTAATGCAGGGGCAGGCTACAATAATGAAGGTGGTATGGGGTACACTCGTGACATCAAAGCGCACTCAGAAGATAGCTGTGATGCAGTTTTGCAGTCCGAAGAGGGAAGGAAGGAGGCAGAGGCGGAGATTAAACCGAGGGAAAAGGAAAAAGAAGAGGGTTCAGGCTGGTACACAATTATGAGGTCGTTATCGCGAAAGAGATGACATATCATAGGCAGCAGCAGTGATGGTACCTTATATGTATATATATATATATATATACTTATATGATGAACAGTTTTGGATCCTTGCATCGGCAGAGAGGAGGGTGAGGTAAGGAAGACGCTGGAGTGTGGTCTTCATTATCATTCGCTCCACTGGTGTCTTATTTGGCTGCACGAGCAGCTGGGGGTTAATGCGAACACTCCCAATGGGCACTGATTTCCTTCAGAAACAAGTGAAAAGCCCGTGTGCTCGTTATCAGCCATTGCAAGTTGCAAGACTTCTGAGCAAAGGGAATTCTTTGCCAATAAAGTGGGAAGGATGCATCCTCTTCCTTGCCAGCAATTCGCCCTTGCCACCCCCACCAGCTGTCCACCCTCCGAGCCTGCCCCTTCCCCTCCCCTTGCTCCCCTGCCACCCCCCCCCCTCCCCTCCATGCCGAGATAAACGTCTGCATTGTGAATTCGCCCTGTCAATCCCCTCTTTTCCGTAGTAGTCTTTGGTGTTTCTAACATCACACCGGGAGTGAAGTAGAGGAAGTCAGCGCAAAAAAACACTTTGAAAAGACTTGGCATCATGGTCCCCTCGGAACGCTCCCGGAGATTTTGGAAGGATGGAGGTGTAACAATGGTGTGAGTGAGGGAGAGGGTTTCCCTTCCCAGGAAAGAACGGCGGCCAATAATCTGAGGGAAGGGTCCTGCGTATATGATGGAATTAGGCGCTAATTGAGCGACTAACATATGATTTCTAGTAATTTTATAATTTTATAATTTTATAAATTTATACTGTGGGTAACATTCGACTCAATTACACACTAAATGTGAGCAACATTTGATTCAATTACCGCACTAACTGTCACTGATGCACGATTCTATTAGACACTAACTGTGATCAACATATTATTTATACTGCAGTGCCGGTCCATGTTCTGCTTCGCTTGGGCAGTCCGAAAAGGCGTATTCAAGGATTAAAAGCACATTATTCAGGAAACAAACAAACAAATAGTGATGGAATGGCGGAGAACCTGCGGGAGGTAGGTGAGGCTGGCAGACAAGGCGGTCATCACGAACCTGCGATGGTATGGGTCGGGTTGACGGCTGACTTGTGCACCTTTGGACTGTGCGAAAAAAGTGGAGAGGACAAGGGAAGAAAGAGTAGAAGTTTGTGATGACCGGCTAAGGTAGGGCGCTGCTGAAAATCGAAGTGAGATATCGAGAAAGCCAGTCGGCAAATCGAGAGCGCAACTTGACCAGGCGACTGATGAAGATACACGTCAGACCCTCAGGGAAGAAGAAATGATAGAGGAGATAAGCATTGGAACCTTCCGCATTTTGGGCCATTTGACTTCAGAGAAAGAGATGAAACGTCAAGGAGCGCATGCAGCCGATGAATGGCTGCAGGAGGAGTGGCTCAAGATACTATTGAGTGAATTATTGTGCCTGTAACGGAAGAAAGCGAGAGTGACACAGAGGAGGTATGTTTGGAACTTATCCCTGAGGAGGAGACTGGTAAAACGAACTAGGCACATCTTTTGACTGGGTTGAGCATATGATGAAGGACGCAGGAATATGTAATGGATGGAGGCAGGTGGGAGACAAGAAAAGGTCAGATAAGAGCAAAACCTGTCCTTCGGGACATCCGTTAGAATTGGAACGATACAGAGAAGATTGGAAATAAGGGCAAAACCGGTCCTGGCAGATCGATCAATCAGTGTTGGGATTAATTGCTCACGAATGTCTGGCAAGCCATCACCGCACACAGCTGGCATATGAACATCGAGGGGAGATCCTTGGCAGGTGCATCATGAGTGCCTGTGTGTGTGTGGCAACGACTGAAGGAACAAATCCCTTGTACATATGGGGGTGGGGATGCAAGTACCGTAGGTGGTGTAGGGTTTGAACCGGTGTAAATCTTCCATCACTCGGTTGCAGTATAATGGTGAGTTTATGCAATGGTAAGGGATGAAGTTAGGTTTTGAGACAGGAAAGGGGTTGGCAATCAGGCCATTGTTGTGCACGTAGAAACTGGTAGTGGGTGAGCTGTACTGCTTCGGAATTGAGAGCGGCGTGCAGTCTTGGACCTGCATGTTCGGCCAGACGAGCAGCTCAGAAGATTCTGCAGCTATGATACATGTTGAGAGTCTTGAGACATGCCGTGATCCAGGATGAAAATTTCTGCAGTGAAATGGTATGTGGAAGTTGTGTTCGACATTCCAATTCCCGAAACCGAACCGAAGAGGCAAAACAAAACAGGTCTAATGAGGGTCATGGAATTGGAATGAATGGTTCAATTTGATTCTTTCGAGCAAGCTCTGGAATTCCGAATGCCTCTAGAGTTACCTTATGTCCCTTCTAAATGCCTCCGGTGGAATTTCCTCCTCTCCATCTCAAAGCACAAGAATGGAACAACGTATGCAGTCTCAAATCATGGTACATGCTGTATGAAACTTTTTGCGGATAAACGAAGGTGCAGCAATCTGTGTCATTCAGCCGATTGGAAGGTACGCACACAGGAGTTGTGGCTTGCAGCCGTGCTCTTTTAGCGCGTTGGAGCTTTTAGACCGCTTCCGTCGAATTGAACTTAGATGACTTGATAAGCCTGGAGGTATCCATTCTATCCACTGGCCAGTACGTGTTCATCCAGTGGTGTGTTTTGGCTGGAAGAAGAGGACAGGATCTTGTCTGCTGTTGGAAGACGTGTGTGGCAAAGAGGAATGAGAAAGGGAGAAACAGTGAAGTGAAGGTAGTGGTGTCGGTGAGTGTAGACGACTACTATAGAGGTACAACTGTGAAGGATGTTTGTCAGAGAAGGATTTGTGGTGATCGGTAACATACATTGTGTTGATGCAGGACATGAAAAGGTACATGGAGTGCTTGCGGGAGAAGAAGTTTGTGACCGATGAATGCAAGCAGTTCTCCAAGGCCTATCTTGCATGCCGCATGCAGAGGTATGCTATATTCTCTCTGCCTATGTTGAGATGGATGCACTGTGGATGTAATGCTGTATTTTATGTATTCACGTGTGTAGATCATGCATGCACTGTCAGTGACATGGGAACGGTTTGCAAACTGGGTTGTGTTGTAAGCAGGTATATAATTTGCCAGATATGAGTACTTGATGGATATGCCTCTCTCTGCATAGGTGTTGGCATTTGTGAGGTAGGTATTCAGTTTTGAGCACAGTGTTCACGTGTACAAATGCTGGAAAACTATAGAGTGATCAGCTCGGTCTTGCACCTGCTGTCTCTCTCCCTTAAACCACTACTACCTTTCCCGCTGTTGGGAAAATGGGAAAATATCCTACTCCTAAGCAATCGGAGGCCAGGCCCGATGACAGCCACCGTTGATAAATCTCATCGGCGGTCATCGTTTCGTTTCGACCCTCCTAAAGATTCGGGGGCCCGACGGCCGCCCACATGGGAAAAGGTAGTGGTGGTTTAAGAAGGACGTAATGCCCAACTACACCCTCTTTATGCATCCTCTACTTTTCCATGGCTTCCTTCTCCTCCTCCTTCCACCTCTGCCTCCTCTTCTTCCTCCTCTTCATCTGCCTCTTCTTCCTCCTCTTCTTCTTCCTCTTCCTCCTCTTCCTCCTCTTTCCTCTGTGAAGCTGGCAGTGGAGTGCGCTATGTGTCATGTCCCATACTTGTGCATTTAGCTGTTGTTCACAGTATATGGTGGTGGATTAACTGTGCTTTTGCTGGATCCGCAGAGCGTGTGATCTATTCAGTTTTCCGTTTGTAGCAGTCTGTCTGCTGTTTTATCCCCTCAGATTATTTTGAGTGATTGGAGGGTTTTGTCTAGCATTCGTTTTCCCGCTTCCGGGCCTTCCCTGCATCTTTGGTTTTTGTGGGCTCTTTATGTCATTGTTTGTTTAGTCACGCAGAATTTCAGGCAGTCTGGTGTGGCATGATTATGAAGGTCATTGAGTAATAGCGTAAAGCATCCTCCCCCACCGTATTTACATGCTCCACCAGGGTTGCATAGCTGCTGACCGTCGACCCCAACCGCCGACCGTTTTGCAGCCGACCTGTAGGGGCGACCGGTCGGCGGTCTGCCGACCAGTCAGAAAACAGCCATCCAATGATTTTTTTCAAATCTAAGTTGGGGGCTGTACTGGGCTTGCTGAGTGCAGCCCAAATCCGTTGAGAAACTTTTGGGGATTGGAGAGGGTATGGGGGGGTTGGGGGGGAGGTATAGGGGGGTATAGGGGAGGTATAGTGGGGTATAGGGGTGGTATAGAGGGTATTGTGGGGGGTATGAGTGTGTTGGGGGGCGGTTTGGGGGTTTTGAGGAGGTCTATGGGGGTCTTGGGGGCGGGTATGGGAGTGTTGGTGAGGTGATTGGGGGTTCTGGACCTAAAAAAAAAAAAGAAAAAAAAAAAGAAGAAGAAATTGCATGGTGCCGACGACCCCCGACCAGTAGGTACTGAGCAGCCGACCCGTCGGCTGGTCGGCATCCAACTAGTCAAGGGGTGCCAACCATCAGGGTATGCAACAATGCGCTCCACTCGTACAATTACACGAACATAGATGCTCATAGTGTTCTTTTTTTCATTGTTATGATCCTGGCCAATTTCGTAGTACACATTCATGAGAAAGTACAATGTCATCCAATTGCAAAAAGAAATGAATGAACTTGAGAGGAGACAGAGGGAAAGAAGAAGAAGAAGAAGAAAAAGAAGAAGAAGAAGAAACAAAAAAGAAGAAGATGATGCACACCAGCATAGACCAATGATAATTCCCTTCTTCTTTGCCAACCACTCTCCTCCTCCTTATCTCCTCCTGTCTTATTCAGAAAAGAGCTAATAATAATAATGTTGAATGGCTGAACCAGAATCAATGTCCAAATCCCTCTTCTACTGCAGGCATCACATGAGGTCCACCATAGCCATGGCCACCCTTCTTCCTCCTTCCTCCAAGGCCAAGGCTATGGCGGACTACCAGGGCATTGCCCTGCTGTGCAAAGGACAACACAGAGCAGCTGTGGTTGCTCTAGCTCGGGCCGCCATGCCTGACTCTGCCTCGAAGCTTCTTGGTGTAGCTCTACCCCACTGGGGCCCTCCTGCTGCAGCGCCCACCAAGGTGATGAAGATGTCAACCACCATAGCCAGATAAGTACCTGTGGCGCTCTCCCTCTTCCTAGTCCTCGTCTTCCTCCTCCTCCAACCCGTGCTCCTCCACCATAGCCGCGGTGGAGAGCTGGGCGTTCTGTCCTCCCCGTGAGCGCTGCTCCAAGCAGCGTTGCTCCAGCCAGCGCTCCAAACAGTGTGTCGCCAAACTTGCACACCGAAGAATGTGGAGAAGCACTTTGCTCCTCCTGGAGATATAGCGGCCTGCTTGCCTCTTGGTGAGTGACTTCCTAGGCCGCGCGGCCTCCAAGCAACCGGTACCTCCTCCCATTCGGAGGGAAGCATCATTGCAGACTCTGATATTGCCCGTACAGGCCCTATACTCAGACTGGTTGGACTGGTACCTGCCTAGACCTAGCCTACTGCAAGGAAAATGAGCGATAGCGGACTTCAGAAATCGAACAGCATCATACACATGAGACCAGATAGTCGTGACCTCGAACCAATAGCAGAATTGCATCACGAGTTCCACCAAATAAGAGCACAGCAAAAGCTCATAATTGACAATGCTGGAATAGTCTCACCATCATCAATGAAGAACCAATGTCGATATCCTATCTGGCGCTCGGCGCTCAGACTACAAATGGCAGATCCTATCTAGCCTATCTACAATGCCGCTGATGACATCAACAGCTCCCTGAAGTACGAGCAGATCTAGGCCAATGCCGTTCGCCTCAAGCACCAGGTATGTCTCTCGTATCACTCACAACCTCGATCCCCAACTCACAGATGCCACATGCACCCAAGGACCACCATGTGCCCCATCCAGCATACAGCAGTGCAGCTCAGCTATGGCTGCCTGCTCCTTCCAGCTCGCCCGTGAGCGCGTGAGCGCTGGCCAGCGTTAGCGCAGCATGCAGCCAGTGCCCGAATGCCAAATGCGTGGGCAGGCACTTTCCTAAATGGAAGCGGCCTGCCTGCCTTGCGTGCAGCTTGGCTGCGCTGAGCCCCTGCCCAGAAGCTTCCGGTAGGCCCAGAGAGGCTGAGCCCCAGTCCAAACGAAACAGGCCCTGGGCCTGTGGTGGTTGCCCGTGTCCAACTGCCCACGGCCTGTGCTCGGTCCATGTTGCGAATCTGGCCCAGGGCCTCCCTCAGTTACATTCGAAAGAGGCAGCCTGGGCCTGGGCGCTCTCAACCAACTGGCGCTGCGCTACTGCCTGAATTTACCCAGTTGCGTGGTGACCCCAAAATTAGGTCTGTAGGCCCTGGGTCGAGCCTGCCTTCACTTAGGGCGGCCGACCGTACAGAAAATAGGGCCCAGTAGGGCAGATCGAGGCCTTGAGCCTCGCATTCCCTCCTCCATACTTTGCTAGTCCTCTGAGTTCATTCAATCTGGCGCTTTCCTTTCGGCAGCAACTTCTCATAGTGGGCGACAACCTGTGGTGCGGTCTGCATCAGTTCCTCCCGTGTGAACCATCTATCCTCCTTTGGATCAGTGTGATGTCTGAACCATCCTCCTTTGGATCAGTGTGATGTCTGAACCGAACCCGGTACTGTAGCTTCGGTTTCAGAGGACGTCTCCTGCCTGTCGGTATTGGAACCAGCATTTCCTAGTGGTCCACGATATCGTCGATGTCGACCTCTCTGTCCATGGTTGGGGGAAGCATTGAGCGACGAGTGGGAAACTGATCGGTTTCTTTGGACAGTGGCAGCTTAGAGGCATGAAAAACAGGGTAGGTACGAAGGTGTCCAGGGATCCGAATAACATATGAGGGCCTGTCTGGTTCATTCTCAACTACATCCAGAACTTCCCATGGTCCAAAATACTGTGGCATGAGCTTACGAGAGATCCCGTGCGCCTCTCCCAGTTCAGAAGCCTTGACCCAGACTCTGTCCCCTACCTGAAACGTCGATGGGCGGCGGTGTTTGTTCTCAGATTCGATCATCGCCGCCTGTGCTCTGTGCATGTGTTCTACAGCCTGCTGCATATGCTTCTCATATCTATAAGCAAATTCCAAAGTTCCTGGAGCAGCAGTGGGCTGATTGTCAGGTAGCAGAAAGTCAAGAGGGAGTCTAGGTTTGAACGTTAGTAGTAGGCTGTTAGGACTTACTCCCGTAGCACTATGAACTGCGTTGTTGTACAGGCTGGCGATGAAAGCGAGCTTCTCATTCCAGTCTACTTGATTAGGCTTAATGCAATGCCTCAGCAAGTGTTGAACAGCGCGGTTCATCTGTTCTGCCTGTCCATTTGCCTTCGGATGTTTTTCAGATGTCATCTGCAGCTGCGTTCCTTGTTCGGCAGCTGCGGCCTTGCACAGATCATTGGTGAATCGGACATCCCTGTTGCTGATTATAGACTTCGGTAGACCAAAGTCTCGAACCCAGTTTTCCTTAAATAGTCTGATCACGTACTCGGTCTTTGCTATTTCTGGCATAGCTACTAATCTAGCATACTTACTAAATATATCCACAATGACGTAGATGTACTTCATGCCACTCTTGCTGGTGACAAGTGTATTCTTGAACTCCATGGACAAGCTTTCACCAGGCCTTTTCGGAATGGGAAGGGGCTTGAGAAACCCAAGAGGATCTTTTGTCCGGGGCTTGTCACGTTGACAAACTTGACAAGTCTCAACATACAGTTTGACATCTCTCATCATCGTGGGCCACCAGAACCGCTGCAACAGGTTTGCTGCAGTCTTTCTATACCCAAAATGTCCAGTCGCATCATGACATTCTCCTAAAAATAAACTACGCAAAGACTCCCGATTAGGCACACAAAGACATTTATTCCCGGCCTTCTCAAGGAACAACAGGCCATTGATCAACTCAAACTCTCCAAACGTAGCCTTATCCTTCGCCTCGAGTCTGCATATGATCTCTAACATGAATGGGTCCTCGCGATAGGCTTCCACCAAAGACTGAGTAACATCGTCCACAAGCCCAAGTTCAGTGACCAGCGCACCGAGGAAATCTGGCCTACTCGACAACGCATCAGCAACCTTGTTGTACTCCCCCTTGATGTACTGGGGTTCGAAGTCATACTGCTCAATGACTTCGATCTAACGCTTCAGAGCGTCGGAGAGTACCGGTTGAGTCTTCGTCCGTCTCAGAGTCTAATGATCAGTCCTCATAGAAGAAGCGACCTAGGAGGTAGTGCATAGGTGGACTTAGCCAACTTTTGAGAGGGCATCTTTTTGGACATGTACTCTACCGGCCTGAACTTCTTCCCCTCCTGCTGCGCAAGTACGGCACCAATGCCATATTGGCTGGCATCCGTAATCACAACGAAAGGTTTATCAGGATCAGGAAGTTTCAAGACCTCATGGTGTGTCAACACATGCTTCAGATGTTTGAAAGCAGCCTCACACCTGTCTGTCCACTCCCATGGGGTGTCAAGGCGTGTCAGGTCCATCAAAGGGGCGGCCACTATACTATAACTCTGAGCAAAGTTGCGGTTGTAGCCCGTCATCCCTAAGAAGGACCTCATCTCAGTCACAGACCGAGGACGCCGCCAGTCACGAATGCTATGCTGGCCACCTTCGCGTCATCGGGCTTCAAACCCTCCGTGGAAATCTCATGACCCAGATACAAGATCCAGGTGCGGCCAAACTCACACTTCTCCCGATTGATCTTGAACTGGTGTTGTTTGAGGAGGCTAAGGACTTTATCTAAGTGCGCTACATGCTCCTCGACAGTCCTACTAAAGATAAGTATGTCATCGAGGTACACGATGACAAACTTGTCCAATTAGTCATGAAATATCCGGTTCATTGCGTGCTGAAAGGTGGCAGGAGCATTGCAAAGGCCGAAAGGCATCACCACCAACTCATACAGACCGTACCTGGTTTGAAATGCGATTTTGTGTTGATCCTAGGGCCGTATTGCAATCTGATGGTACCCGGACTTCAGATCTATCTTACTGAAGTACCGACACCCTTGCACTCGATCCAACAAGTCGTCGATGCACGGTAGGGGCTCGGCATTCTTCACTGTGATGGCATTGAGGCCCCTATAGTCAATGCACATCCTCAAGGTCCCCCCCTTCTTTGGTACGAATAGTACAGGAGATCCGTAAGGGGAAACACTAGGCCGGATCCAACCCTTCTCTATGAGATCCTCGAGTTGCCGGCGAAGCTCATCAAGCTCACCTAGAGACATCCGATAGATCCTACCCTTCGGAATGCTAGACCCTGGGATAATCTCTATCGCATGGACGACCTCCCTCTCAACAACCCCTTTCGGCTCTTCGAATAGATCACAGTACCTAGCGATCACTCCCTCTATCTCTGGAGGCATTTTCACCGGCTCACCCTCTGCAGAGACGTAAACTAGATGCATACCCTCCTCCGGATTTTGCTTATAATAGTTGTAAAACGTGGCAGCACACATGCATCCGTAGGACTCGATCAGACTACTAGCCTTGAACTTACGTAATCTGGCGGTCCCCCCCTCCGGCCAAAGTGTGTTTTTGACCACTTTTCGGTGCCAGTCAAACTGGGGCTGTGCAAGACATGCTGGACAATAACCTCATTTCGATTGGTTAATCTCACTTTAGCTATTTTGCGTAAAGCTGAGTTGTTGTTTTTTTGGTGTTCTTGTAGAAACACCGTCAGAAAAAGAAATTAGATTTATAATTTATTGAATAATTTGAATTCTATTGTCAATTTCTCGCATAAGATTAAAAAAAAACTAGATGCTCGCAGCGTAATGTTTCCGCAAAACTAAAATGAGATCGTTCTTATAGTGTCAAACCAAATGCGCATGAAGTGGCTCTGCACAAAGAAAAGAGGGAAAATTTTAAAATACTAAAACAGTAGTCAGAATCCAATTTGAATTTTGAAAAGAACTACGGAGAATAGTTCATGCCGCATAGCTCTCCTTCTCGTCGTTATTCAAAGTCGTTTCCATTCATTAGTATGGAGTCTCGGTCGACCAATCGGCTTCAGCTGCTTTCATGAAATTCTTCCCGTTCACTGGGCTGACACTCCGTATTCCTCTGCTAACCTCCATACTAAGCATACTTTGTGCACATCGATTCTCTTTTTCAACACCCCGTTGTCCGATCTCTCTAGTCAGTGATCACTGATCACCCTTTCTCTCCTGGCCAAACTCCCCATCACCACAGTATTTCCCCCTTTCTTTTTTTTGCTCGTTTCCCATGATGAAAGCGCATACCCCTTCGCACCCTCCATTCAGCATCATACCAAGGCAGTCAGGTATTAGCAAGTTAGAAATGTCAATTCAATTCAATTCAATTCAAAAAAAAAAAAAAAAAAAAAAAAAAAAAAAAAAAATCACAGGGAAACTACTTGCAGATGTCAATCTCAAAATATTGAGGAGCATGTGCTCTCCTTCCTCCTCAATCCCCCATCTCCATTGCTTCTCCTCCCACTAAATCATAGTAGTGCCCATGCATCTGTCTTCCCTTGCACCAACCTGTTCCTTCCCTTGTACCAAAACTATGCTGTCATTGTCACATTCATCGTCCTTGTGAGTTAATGAATGGTCACACCATAGTTAACACAGTTTCCCCCAAACTGTTATCTATACCAAGATCACAAGACATCAGTTAGGTACTCTTGCGGGACTGCTTCCATGCCGAGGGTTTGCATCAGACGGCAGTGGCATCCCGTGAAGCGCTTCCCATCATCACCAACTTTGTGGCTCGTCAGAAGGGTTCGTAGCTGCACAAACAGAACAAACGAACATAGAATTTGGCATTTGCAAGTACCAGCTCTTCTCTGTTGAGTTCGTCGGACGGATCAATGTCGTGTATGAAACTCCCATCTACTCCTGCGGTCGTCTTCTCCAGCCACACAGTGTGCAAATGCTTGTACTCTCTATGTCACTGTCACCAAGTTGACGGATACAACTATTCCATGATAGATAGAGGTTTATGTAGTTGAGGAGGGAGGAGATTCCCAGCTATGCGGTGGTGTCTTTGCTCGGTCGGTGCGCTGCAGCCATTGTACGGGTGCAAGTTTGTCGTATCGTCGACGCCACAAAAGAGTCCCAATTACGAGCCGAACAAGTCTTGATGGGGTAGCAGGACGTTTGATGTCATCCAACCCCTTGGGCCAGCCCACTGCTGCAGATCTCTCTTTGATATGAACTCTTCTGAAGAGAAACCGAATGATGCTTCATGCATCTGTGTCTTCTGTGAACGTGTGTGTGTAACTATGCATGTCTATGCTGTAAAGCTCCCATGAAACAGTCTGTCACAGCCCCTCTTTTGCTGTCCTTTTCTCCCTCTCCGTCTGCGGTTCAGTGGGCTACTCTCTCTGACGAGACATATGAGTACACATATTTTAAGATGATATTTATGCATACACATTATAGTGGTTCACCGATCAGGTCTGGTGCCGCGGTGGCACACACAATGGCGCACCAGTCGGGTCTGGTGCAGCAGTGGTCGAGGCCGTCGCCATCTGTGACGAATACGAGACTCGAACACACGTCCAACGGCTTGGCAGGCTAACACCTAAGGCCACATCGTGCCTCTACTTCCAGCGTTGTGTCTGGGGTGTACTTTCTGCCTGTGGCAGACCTTTCTTTGTTTCGTGATGGTTTGCTGAGAGAGAGAGAGAGAGAGAGAGAGAGAGAGAGAGAGAGAGAGAGAGAGAGAGAGAGAGAGAGAGAGAGAGAGAGAGAGAGAGAGAGAGTCGATGTGTGTGTTGTATATACTACCAATTGTGAGATCTGACTAGGCATGTGGCAAAGTAGGAACTGGCTTTAACAACATATATTTGATTCTTGTTTGGCAGGAACTTAATGGCTAAGCAAGACCTTGCATCGCTGGGGTTCGCGGAGGAAGCTTCAAGGGAATCACAATCTGGGAATGTTAACTCTTCGGAGGAATCGTCAGAGAAGTTATCGTCAATTGAGCAGTCAAGAAGAAGGGCACAGTCAGGTTTTGTTGCAGGAATCAGGCGTAAACAACGAGAAAGCATCCCCAAGACAGAGGGAAGTTAAGGAGAGGAAAGGCTTTTTGAATGTCGTTACTTGCTGCTGTCGATCTGTCGAATCGAATCGTGTGCCTATTGTGGAGGCTGTGATGGTTTGGAAGCATGCAACATATGACCTTCCGAGCCTTCTGCAGTCTGGACATGTAAACATTTTGGGGTAAGGTTGAGCTCTTTAAGCGCCCTCCAAGACCTCAGTCAGCATGCAATGCCTAATCCAGAAGACAGTATCAGGGAGCTGCTAGCCAACGAGTAATGTACCACCCTAGGGTCTGTTGGGTTATTCCTCGCTTTATCTCAGTTGTCCCGGGTGGTCCACCTCTTGAAGGTATCCTTCCATTTTGTGGCTTTTACGGTGATATGTTTGGTAACCTTTTTCTATTAAAGCTCGGATCTCCTCTAGCCTCCATTCCACCCTTTCCTTCCTTTCACTGCCTTGAAGTTCCTCGTTGGCTTCCATCCCGCCTATGTAGCGCAGTTTTGAGGAGCCTCCTGCTCCTGTCCCATACTTCGGTGCTTCATGGTACGATCTTCGTGCTACGTGCTTGGTGCTTTAGCGGATTCAGTGTTTTAGCGGATTCAGTGCTTTGGCGGACTCGGTGCTTGGTGCTATGTGATTTGTGAATCCAGTGCTTCTCTCTCTCTCTCTCTCTCTCTCTCTCTCTCTCTCTCTCTCTCTCTCTCTCTCTCT